CTTAAATCCACTCCAGTGCACTTTCACCTCCAGCACTCCACAGAAATTGCACATCAGCCTCACAATGGCCTCTGCATTCTAATGAAACCCGATGGTCAATTTCCTCTTACTCTTCCTGCTGTGGAGTCTTTTTCTTACCCCCAAACCTGCTCCTTTTCATCTCAGTTGATAACTCCATCCTTCCACATGATCAATCTGAAAACCTTGAAGTCATCCTAGACACCTTTCTTTCAAATCCCTAAGCAGTGGTCTCCGCCCTCAGAATATATCCAGAATTGCCACTTCTTATCCGCCCCACTGCTACCACAGACATGCCAGCCATCATTTCCATCTTTTGAGTGGATTCCCAACAGGTTTTCCTGTTTCTTCTCTCACACTCCTCCAACCCCAGTCTATTCATAACACAGCAGCCAAAAGGCTCCTATTGAAACCCACGTCAGATCATGTCCTTCCTTCGGTCTCAACCTCATCTTAGCCAATGTAAAATAAATGCCTTTACCATGGCCTATAAGGCCAAATATGATCAGCCCTTGTTCCTCCTCTCTTCTCTCTGGCTCATTTTACTCTAGCCGCTAGGCTCCCTGAAGTTTGTTGAACATGTAGGCTGTTCCTTATGCCTGGAAAGCTCATCCTTCAGATATCCATGTGGTCAACTCCCTCACCTCATTAAAGTCTCTGCTCAAGGAAGTCTACCCCAACCATCTCCCTTACCTTGCTCTTTTTCCATTGTACCTGCAACTTTCTAAGACATGATATAATTTACTTATTTGTTATGTTTATTGTCTGTCTTTCCCTGCTAAATTGTAAGGTTGGTGGTTCACGGATGTATCCCAAGTATCTAAAATAGTGCTTGGCACATAGCAAATGCTAAATATCTGAGAATAAAAGTTCTATGAAGTGCTGAGGACCCAAGCTAGTTTACATGGGTCCAGCAGCAAATGCATGTGAAGAAATGGAACCACAGAGTGAAAGAAATTTGTAATTTATCGAAGTCTTTCCATTTCTTTATACAGTTACTCTGACATATGAAAAAATACATCTATTTAAAATACCTTTATTATTTTTTATTTAAAATAAGACACTATGTAGGATATAAGAACAAGAACATTTTAAGCTTCAATACATATGAACCATGACAAGCTTAAATATTTATAAATACTGACCGTTTTTAAGTATCAATAAATAACATATTAGAAGTTTCAGCATAACACTAGATCATATGCAATTTGAAAAAAAGGGAGCAAAAACTGGTTAGTAAATTGTTAATCAAATAAAAACTAATCATTGATGACCTCATATTTTTTACCTTTTTGCTACAGTAAACAACAAATATAAATTAAAAATACATAATATAATAATTATTATATAATAAAAATATGAATAAATAAAATCAAATACAAACATAGTGAGCAATGAATACTGTGATACTTAATATATGAGTAGTACATGAGAAGTATTTTTGTATTCCTATAAATATAATTCTTGACATTAATTTTGGTATATTGCCATAGGTTTTTTTAATGCAATGCCTGATTTCTTAAGCTTCTGGATACAGAAGTTTAAGAAAGCTTCATGTTCTGGCAAACATAAAATCATTTATTTATGGTTTTAAAATCGTAATGGTTCTAAAACTAACGTACAATTGAAATGTGAAGAATGAGTTTTGGGGGGAGTGGTCCACACTACATATAAATCACCAAAAACTTAAAGAAGTAAAATTTTTCCCTAATTAGATTTAGAGTTATGTTGGTTTTCAAAAATTATGATCTTTAAAATGAACCAAAATCTTCATTGATTTCTCTCATGAATATAAGCACAGAAATCTGATCTATAACCTCTTCTTTGAACATGAAATATTAAATCAATAATCAATGTTATCTACCTATCCACATTAAATCGCACATCTATAATATATATATAAATATATATAATTTTAAACTTCCATTAGGATAAATATTGTAAGATAAGAAAAACCTATTTTACACACAAAAAATAGACTGACATTAATATAGCAAGTTTTTCCATGCAGGTTAACATTTATCTAAATTAAATATTATACTATAAATTCTATATTTTAGACGCTAATGGAGTGGAGTAGGGGCTACCAAGATTTTTTTATATAAAGATCTGTTAGACACTATACACTAATTCAGCAATGGACTTAACTTTTCAACTATTTTGCTTGGTCTAATAATAAAGTAAGTCTTCATTACATAAGGCATAATGCCTGGACAGTATCAGACAGGCAGCCTGGAAACAGAGGAAGCAGTGGGGGAGGCTACTTTTAAGAATGATTACATGCTGTGGATGACTGAGCTGACCAAATATGCATATTTATTAACATTACTTTCGTAAACAAATATTTTCACCACAGCCTCACAAACAAAATCACATACCACTCTTTACTGCAGTCCACTATAATTATCTGTAATACCAGTTTTAGAATGAGAAGGGCACATCCATAGTGGGCTTTAAACCAAATGTATGTCCCTATGAAAATGGTAGAATAATTGGGAAATAGATATAATTCTGGAAAACAGAAATGCTAACAGTAAAGGTATACAGAAAATTAACTAACTAGACACAATTTTCATGATCAAGAGCTACACAATTTCAGGATCAACAGCTATGCTTTGAAATAGAGTTTGTGTTTATTTTTGCTTTTAATTGCAATGCTTTAGTAGAGTGGTAGAGACAGTAAATCGCATTTCAAAAATCAAAGTTCAACTTATACTTGGTTCTCTACTTTTTAAAAATTTAATAAAGGATTATCTCACTGAATATTCAATGAAGATTTTAGGTTTCTTTTAAATATACTACAACAATTATATTTTATAAATTAAATGTCTAAAATGTTTGAAAGCCAAAATAATACTTGTTAGGAGAGAAACTCTATTTCTGTTTCTCTTTTTTTCACGTTAGATAATTTATTTGTAATATGGACCAGAAAGTCATTCTGGATATTTGCTTCAGTACATATATATTCCTAAGCTGTACCAGGAACCCAGAATGGATTTTCTAAAGACTAGACTATCAGCCCTCAGGGCTTGGGCCATGGTTGCCTTGTTCATTTCAGTAGTGGATACAGTGCTTAACCCACTGCTTGGGACATGGCAGATTCTAATGAGTCCTGCTGGACACAGAAATATCCAATCCAATAAAGGCTCTTGTTCTGCTCTGAAATAGGTTTTATGTTTATTCAGTGATTCCTATTAGTTCATAAAAACAAAAGTGAAATTTAGTGAGCCAACAGAGATATGGTAGACCCTCCCAAAATGTAGTATATATACACATTTTTTTCTTTAAAAATATACTATACCTTATGTTACAGATATATGCTGAAGTGTTTATGGGTGAAATTATATGATCTCTTGAATCTGCTTTATGAACAGATGAAACAAAGTGGCAAAATATTAACAGGTGGATCTGGATGATAGGCATTCAGAGGTTCTTCATACTATTTTCTGTACTTGTGTGATTTGAAAATTTTGGTAATAAAAAATAATAAATTCAAATAAATTTCAATAATAAAAATAGTAAGGGCAAGCTAAAAATATTTTCACCTATCCAAACTACCATATAATTGGATGTTTTGCAAAGATCGGTACAAGGCTATTACATGACATTATTATAATAATGAAAAGTTGGGAACAACTTAAGTGTCAATCAACTGAGGACGAAATACAGTAAACCCACACACAACGAAATGTTATGCAAACATTAAAAAGAAAATTGTCTAGTGAAAAAGGAGGTTCCACAGCAGCACGTAGAGCCTGATTCCATGCTCACAGGAGTGAGTGTGAGAGACATCTGAAAGACTGTTCCTCCAATGTTCAGGGTGGTCATCTCTGCAGAGAGAAATTGTAGGTGTTTTTTCACTTTTTTTCTTATAATTGCTCTGTATTGCTAAAACTTTTTACAGAAGTATGTATTAATTTTATATTTTGGGGGAAATATTTTCTATAATGATACCTATTATTTTCCTATGTTATTTTTTCTATCTGATGAAATGATTTTTTTATTTTAAAAATTGTGTCAGATCTTAAGGAATTCACAGTGGGAAAGTGCTATACTTCTAAGACAATATGTAATCTGAAACAGATTTCATTATTTCTAAAACTTCAAATAATCTTTAAGGCAAATACATTTTTTCCTCAACCACCTACTGACTGCATTAAAATGTAAGATGTCAGAAACTACATAAAACACAACATTATAACATATATAGGAACTGACTTAAATACCTTTTGGTTAGTTCAAATCAGGCTGAAAATTCAACTAGTTAAAGAAATAACATTTGGAAGAGAAAAGAAGAAAATGTTTTCTAGTTGGTTCTTAAATTTGAATTGAAAGTATTACAATCATTCTATGCAAAAAAGTTTTTATGGATATTTTAGTAATATGTTTGTTCTTAGAATAGAACAGATGGCAGAATGGAATAAAATGTAATTTCTAGATGCATGATTTTGTAAATTTAGTGCCATGGACTCAGCATTACCAACTAAACTTCAATTTAGCCAGCAATGCAGCAATTTTGGAGTCAATTTTAACCTAATGATTAGACTTTAAAACATCACTTAAGGTTTATTTTCTTGGGTAAGAGTCCCCAAAAATAGTTATTCTAGTAGCTGTCAGAATCTTACATCATTAGGCAGTCTGCTGCCGCTGTGCCCCTTTCCTAGTCTGCAAAGATCCCTAGAGCAGAGTGGGAGGGAGCACGCAGTGGGACCTCTGTCTGCCCCATCCCTTTTAGGGGCTTTACTACTCAACACAGTTGCTGTATGCAGTCCTTATTCAAGGGCTGTTATGTTCCCACCAGTTCCTATTTCCTTGCTGATTTTAAGGTTTCAGGGGATTTAAAAGTAGCTCCTTTTTACCAGGAGGTTGGGGATCCCTAAGCTTGGGAATCCTAATTCAGATCATGTAAAGAAAAACAAATCAAAAGCTATCACCTCACTTACCTGGTGGACATTTTCTTCTTTTATGTCCATGTTCTAAGCTTAACGCATAATGAGAGATTTCTTAAGTTTTGATTTATCTAAATCATGTATCTGTTTCAGACTGAAGAATAGAATGTTGTTACATTAATTATGTATACTTATAGTTGTGCTAGGGTATTCTGTTTCTTAACTACTGTCTTTCTAGATGATCTTGCTCACATCAGTTAGATCCTTATTTACCTGTTTTAAAGGTCTAGCATATGATGAATATCCCCAGATTTTTTTTTTTTACCTGGTCCTTAGATGAACTGGATTGCCCATAATGGGCAGTATTGAAATGATGCTTCTTTGAAGTTCTCGAAGACTGTGGGCATAGTTTTCCTTTAGACCTGTGGGCTGTTCTGTTTACTATCAACCTGTGGTCACTTACATCAACTTTAGTTTGATCTGCTGATCGTTGCTGCAGTAGTTGGGGTTCTTCTGTTTCTGTTTCTGTATCTGATTCAAAAATGTGTGGTTGTCTTTTCAGTTTTAATGACTCGTAGCCTTTCCCTAAAACTTGTTTTATAAATTTGCTTGTCAAGTTTTCTTTTCCATTCCCTGGGAAGTCGGCAGCACTTTTTATCACACCTAAATTGTTATTTGACATCTGAACTACTGCACTATTAGACAGTTTGCTTTCATTTAAACTCACAGTTGAAGACAGATACTTTGTCATATTTTCATAGAACTCAGTATTTTTTTCTTGTAGAGGTCTGGAACTCTTCTGATTTAAATTTCTAGCATGCATCTGAATGTTACTATTAGATCTTTTTTTAATGGCTGGATCTACATTAAGTTTGTCATCCCGTATCATACTAGTTTTAAGTGAAAACGATTCAGATTCTGTAACAACATGCTGTTTTCCTTTGAGGTTGCCAAGTGCTGAGATATTTTTGTTCGTCTGTAACAATCTATTTTTGAAAATTGGTATGAATTTAGGGGTGATGTTACTCTGAGAGCTAAGATTTGTATGTTGAACTTGAGTATTTCCTTTGTTGGGTTTTAATACTTCCAAATGTACCTGTGGTACCTTATTAGACAGGGATTTCTTTCTACTCTGGACAGACTCTGGCTGGAGATGCAGAGCTGAGAAAACTCCTGACTTTGGCTGGCTGGCCGAAAGCTCCACCTTGTGGCCTCCTGCTACTAAACATGGTAGAAGACTTTCAGCCAAGGCAGGTTTTGTGGAAGTGGCTTGAGTCAAAGAAGCCCTGAACATTTTTTTAGTGGTCAAATTGGGTGGCTTGATTTTGTTTTCCTGAAAAGATAAAGATTAGGAAAATTAAAAATGTAATAATATCCTTAATGAAAAAATAAAAAATATCATCAAAATAAGAATATAAGGTAACACTATGACATATGGAATAGGTAAAGGAAAACAAAATATAAATGAGCCTTCTGGTGGAAATGTGTACATTTCTTATGGTTTGTATCCTTCTTTTGATACCATCCTTTCAAGATAATACTTTAAGATATATTCCAAATTCTATATAAATCAACCATAAAGACTATACACACAGCTACCCATTGTCTTCCAAAGGTGCTCATGCTGCTCTATGACTTACTTACTCTTATGTCCTTCACAGTTACTCAGAAATACTTGTTGAAAGAAATGTAATTAATGGTGGAATCTATGCGCACCCTTCAAGAATAAGTAGGATTTTGACTACAGGGTAGGGGCTGTTTGTGTCTTCATCATTTTTGGTTTTTTGTTGCCCACCACAGTGCTTGGTTCCTGGGGGCAACTCAGCAAATTTCTGTCACATGAACTTGTTAGATAAATCAAAGAGAGCCAAGTGGTTATTTTCTTTAATTGTGGATATGTATCATAAAATTTACCATTTTAACCATTTTTGTTTTGTTTTGTTTTGTTTGGCAGCTGGCTGGTACATCAGAACCATTTTAACCATTTTTAAGTGAACAATTCAGTAGCTTTCAGTTCATTCAACACTGTACTTGTGTTATGTAACCTCCCTACTATCTACTTCCAAAATTTTTTCTTCGTTCTAAACAGAAACTATATTCCATAAACAGGAATTCCCTGTTTCCCCTTCCACCCAGTCCCTGCTAACCTCTATTCTACTTTCTACCTCTATGAATTTGCCCATTCTAGGTACCTTATATAAGTGGAATCATACAATAGTTGTCCTATTTCACTTAGCATAATATTTTCAAGGTTCATCAATGTTGTAGCATCTATCAGAATTTCATTCCTTTTTACACCTGAATATTCCACTGTGTTTATATACCAAGGTCATAGCCTGAGGTACTGGGGGTTAGTACATCAACATATGAATTTGGGGTGATACAATTCAACCCTTATGTCTCCAAACATATACCTCTGGAGAGAGTGGGGGGGATACAGGTGTTTTTCTGAAGACCACCTGTACAAGAGAGCTAGGGTAAAGCTAAAAAGTGTCTGATAAAATCTTATCCACCATCTTTGTCAAATACCATATGAGCAGAGACCATCACCATCAAACCAATCCAAGTCAAGAAGGGAAGGCCCCCCCCCCCCCCGCATCCCCCAGCTGTGATTGTGTAATGGATATAGAAGACTGGTATTTAATTTCCATTCCACCCTCCTCCTAGTGTTCCTTCCAGCACTAGAGCCTGGAAATCTAAAATTGACATTTTCTCCTCTGCAGCTACAGTTCGGATGTAATTTGGAAACTGCCAGTCAGATGCACTCATACAATATCTGGAAGGCGAAGTAAAGTCAAGTCACACTTCTGCTGTTTTTGTTGAAAAGCTTACTTCTTATGAATGCCTTAGACTTTCAGTTGCAGAGTGTGCAGAAGCTCAAGCGTCCACTCACCAGCTTTGCAGATGTCCAGAGCAGAGCTCAGGGCATCTATTCTCCTGCTGCAGACCATGTCAGGCAAAAGTACCAATGCACTTTGCCACACACCAGTGTCCTCACCCTAAATAAATTCTCCCCATCCATAGATGCTATAGTGAGAAAAGGATTCTCAAACTTCTAAACTTTTGAAATTCTACCTCAAAGAGATGTTTTGTCAGAGGTAACTGAGTCACCTTGAAGTATCCAGACTGAATTTTTTCCACTTGATGAAAAAAGATTTTGAGAACTAAGTTGAACTCATTTATAGAAACACAAAAAACACCCAATTTTTGGCCCCTTGGTTCTATAAACTGAGGTTACCTTTAAACAACATACCTACTACTTGAGATACCAGAATAAAAACCCATGGGGATTGTCATGTAAGAATAAATTACTTTTCTAGAATATGTGTCTTGTGTCTGAAATATGCTTACAGTCATACCCTGTGTCGTCTTCGCCTCTCTCAGAAATATACATCTGGTGAAAATAATTTTCAGGAGCTTGTTTTGCCTCTTACTCTGTCAATATATTATTTACTCACTCTTTCAATTTTTAAAATACAATAAATAGCCCAAAGGTTTTACCCTAGAGGTTTATATTGAATCTAGAGATTTATATTGAAAATTTATAAAAAGCCTACAAATAAGGCCTATGTAAACAGCAAATGAGATCATAAATAATTCACAGAACTTAAATGGTCAACAAACCTAAGCTTTGTGAAATCATAAGCCAATAAAAAACCCCATAGGCTTTACTATATCATTATCATTATTCTTCTAGGTACCATTGGCAAATGTAACTTGGTTGACTTTTAATTTCTAGAATTTATACAATTTATGTAACTTTATACATTAACATACAATTACAGAGGAAAACCAAAAGCTTTAACCTATACTTAGTTATGAATGAATATCTCATAGAGGACTAGTATTAAGGTTTTAAGAAACTAAAACCTGAGGAATGATAAAAACGATTGAATGTGTTTCATCTATTAAAATCTGGTTCTGTGCACTGCACGACCTCAATATGTTTCTTGCTTAAAGCTGAACCAGAATTCAGTTAAGCTTAAATCTAATCACAGGTTTATAGGCAATATGGGGCTTAGAAGAACATGTTAACTTTAAATAACATGACACAAAGAAGCAACCAGTAAAATCCAGAATATGGTATATTCTCCAGGGCAAATGATCTAGTTTTTCTAACAAATAACTGGCAAAAATAAAAGGGGAGAAGTTTTGAAATATTATACAATAAAGAGATTTAAGAAACATAACAAATAAAATTATGTGGACATTGTTTGGATTCTGATTTAAACAAAATCCCTTAAAATGAATCTTTGACATAAACGGGGAATTGCAGTGTGAACTTGTATTTGATGATATTAAGGAACTCTTGTTAATTCTGTTAGGTGTAATAATGACGTGAGGGTCATGTAAAAATATTATTTTAAAAGCTCTTATGAGATAGAAATGCATACTACAATCTTTACAGGTGAAATAATATCTGGGATTTGTTTTAAAATATTCCAGTTTACCCTCACCCAAAAATATGTCAAGGAGGAACGAGATGATGGGCAAATGAGAGGTCATTATACTAACTTCTATTATGAATCTTTGAAAATTTCCATAAGATTAAAAAAAAAAAAACAGTTTGGCTAAGCACTCTGGATAATTTAGTTTTTCTAAAGTCAGTTGAGTTTTAGCAAGTAATGTGATCAATTTATTTTTCATTTTTTAAACTTTTGCTTTTTATCATTACTTGAATCTCAGAGCTAACGTGTATGTGGCCTAGCAATAACAACTAACGTCTACTGAGAACTCACTAAGTACAAGAAACTATTCTAAGTATTATCTCATTTAATGCCAACAGCTCCTACGAAGTAAGTACTGCAAAGGACATGACCCCCTTCAAGGAAGGACTTGCCACCCCCACTACCAGGAGCATGATCAGCAGATACACCTTCGGGGACTGCCTCAATTACAGAGACACCACCCAAGGATATGCTTGTCTCAGGATGGCCCAAATAAAATGACAGGCAGGAAGGCTTATAAAGGCCTGGCTATTGTGGCCGCTGGAGAACAACTCTGATGGGCTATTTTAGGCTCTGAGCTTCTCAGAAGGTTGGCCAAGGCTGTCTGGTGCCGGCTTTGCTTTTTGACTTCTCACTTTACCCACACTTGCTTCCTTCCTGCCTTCTACAGGTACTGCTTCCAAGGGCAGTCCCTCACAAACATCACGTGCACTACTCCACCTCAGAGTTGGCTCCTAGAGAACCCAATCTGTGACAAGTGCCATCATCACCACCACTACCTCTCACCATATTTTACAACTGAGGAAATGAGGCACAGGGAGATCAGATAACTCAACCCCAAATTATACAAGCAGTAAGGGTTTCAAATATAGGAAGCCTATGTCTAGAGCCTGAGCTTTACAAATCTAAACTTTTTCCAATTATGGGACTAAGAATCTGACTACCTGGGTTTCAATTCTTTTTTTTTTTTTTTTTAAAGATGACTGGTAAGGGGATCTCAACCCTTGGCTTGGTGTTGTCAGCACCACGTTCAGCCAGTGAGCAAACCGGCCATCCCTATATGGGATCCGAACCCACGGCCTTGGTGTTATCAGCACCGCACTCTACCGAGTGAGCCACGGGCCGGCCCCCTGGGTTTCAATTCTAATTCTGCAATGAATCTAACTGTTTGGCTTTGGTTAAATTACTTGTATGTTCTCAGTTTCAATTTCCTCTTCTGCAAAATTGAGAAAACAATTCTTTATCCCAAAGGTCAATTTTGATGATTAAATGAGGTAATACACATAAAATCAGCTGGTATACAGAAGGCACTCAGTAGAATTAACTAGGATAAATTCTCATTGTCAGGGTTCCAATTGTCAGGAGCAATATAAAAACCAGAATTTCTAATTGTTATTTTACATTTCTGAAGGAAATTTTCACAAGTACCTTGTCCTGATTCACTATTTCTAAAACAGACATGGTCTGGAAATATTACATACTCAATACATACATTCACTAAAAAATGCATGATATAAAGACCTGTCTTCGGAGCGTGGTGCTGACAACACCAAGTCAAGGGTTAAGAACCCCTTACCGGTCGTCTTTAAAAAAAAAAAAAAGAAGAAAGAAATGTTTGTGGAACACCCAAATGAAGGAGTCTCCAAGGCGTTTTGAGAAATTCAAGCATTCACCACAAAGAAAATTGGCAACATAGCGGCGGGAAGGGAGTGAACTGCCCGCACCCTGCGCCGGCAGGATCCCAGAGGCCACCAGCAAGAAGAGGAACTCAGAAAGCCTGATGGTGAGTCAGAATCTCTGGTGTCCTTGCTTGCGCCGGGAGTAGCTGTTACTACCCAGGTGGATTGCTCTGAAGGATTGCTGAGACCTTGAAGGGGACTCTCAT